TTTTTCTTTCTTTCTTTCTTTCTTTCTTTCTTTCTTTCTTTTCTTTCTTTCTTTCTTTCTTTCTTTCGAGTCTCACTGTGTTGCCCAGGTTGGCCTCAAATTCCTGGGGTAAAGCAATCCTCCTGCTACTATTCTCTCCATTATGTAGGATCAAAAGTGTGTACCATGATACTCAGTTTATGTGCACAGCATTTCAGAAATACTGAAATTATAGAGGTGGAGAACAAGTTGCCATGGACTAGAGATAGTATGAGAAGGCCTGGAGGAGTTCCTGTGTGGTGAGAGGTGATTTTGTTTGTTGGGATTTGTGTGTTTGTGTGTGTGTGCACACACCCATGTATGTGTGTGTATGCATGTGTGCACACGTGCATGTGTATATGTGTGTGCGTGCATGTGTGTATGTGTGTTTGTGTGCATGCTCATGCATGTGGTTTTCTTTCTACCATGTGTCTCCCAAGGATGAAACTTAGGTTATCAGGCTTAGCAAAGAGCACTTTTGCCTGCTGAGCTAGCCATTTCAGTGGTCCTTGTTTGTTTATTGAGATGTTTTACTGCATAGCCTGGGCTAGTCTTGAACTTCTTACGTTTCTGTTCTGCCTTGGCTGTGCTACAATGAGTAGTGTGCACCACCATGCCCTGGCTCTGGTGAAGTTTTATATCTTATATACCATAAATAGTCACCTGAGTCTGCTTTATTATTTTTTATGGATATGCATGTGTGTTCATGTGTTCAGATGTTTGTGCACTTGTGTGCAGGTATATATAGAGGCCACAGGATAACTTTAGATGTCATCCTCAAGAACACTGTCCACTTCTTTGAGACAGAACTTCTCATTGGTCTGAAGCTCACCAATTAGGCTAGACTGACTGGCCAGTGAGCCCCAGGGATCTTCTTGTCTCTACTTTCCCAGTGCTCAGTTATAAATGGGCACCATATGCCTAGCACTTTTACATGGGTTCTGGGATCTACTTGGGTCTTCATGCTTGCAAAGGAAACATTTTATTGACTGAGCTGTCTCTCCAGTCCACAGAAGTCTATATATAAGGAAAAGTTTGGGGCTTAACCAGTGGTTAAGAACACTGGTTGCTCTTTTAGAGGACCTGGGTTAAGTTCCCAGCATCCACATGGCAGCTAACAATGGTCTGTAACTCCAGTTCCTGGTATCTGATGCCCTCTCCTGGCCTCTGTGGGCACTGCATGCACATGTTGCACTTACATGCAGGCAAAACACTCATACACATATAAAAATAAACTTTTTATATGGGGCTGGAGAAGGGTGAGTGGTTAAGAGCACTGGCTATTCTTGCCAGATACCTAGATTTGAATCCCAGCACACACATGGAGGCTAACAACTGTCTGTAACTCCAGTTCTAGGGGACTTGATGCCCTTGTCTAACCTCCGAGGGCACTGCATGACATAGGTGCACCTACTTACATGCAAACATACACTCATACACATAAGATAAAATTAATAAATAAACTATTTAAAAATTAAAAAATAACAAATTTTTTTTTAATTAAAAGGATGGGGCTGGGGCTGGAGAGACAGCTCAGCAGTTAAGTACACTGACTGCTCTTGCAGAGGACCTGGCTCAATTCCCAGCACCCACATGGCTACAAACCATCCTTAACTCCAGTTCCAGGGGAATCTGAAGCCCTCTTCTGACCTCTGCAGCATTGCATGACACGGGTGCACTCACATACATGCAGGCAGTACACTCATACACATAAAATAAAAATAGTAAATAAAATATTAAAAAAGGAGAGAGATGGGGCTGAAGCCTGGCATGGTGGTGCACACCTTTAATCCCAGCACTTGGAAGGCAGAGGCAGGCGGATCTCTGAGTTCAAGGCCAACCTGGTCTACATAGTGAGTTCCAGGACAGCTGGGGCTACAGGGAGACCCTGTCTCAAAAAGACCAAAAAAAAAAAAAATTAATTTGGGCTGGGTGTGCCTTTAATCCTAGCACTCAAGAAGAAGAAGCAGAAAGAGCTCTGTGAGTTTGAGGCCAGCCTCACCTACATAGTGAGTTCCATGCCAGTCAGGGCTACATAGTGAGACTCTGTCTAAAAGAAATTACATTGGAGATAAAGTCTGTAAAGTTTTTAAAAAATTATTGTCCTGAGTGGCACACACCTTTGATGCCAGCACCCAGAAGGCAGAGGCAGGCGGATCTCTGTGAGTTCTAGGCCAGCTGGGACTACAGGGAGATCCTGTCTGAATAAAAAGACACACACACACACACACACACACACACACACACACACACATAGTCATGTGCTTATGTGTTTGTACAGGTGTGCAGGTGTGTGTGCATGAATGAGTGTGCAGTGCATGAATGAGTGTGCACATGCATGTAGAGCCAGAGATCAATGTTGAATATCTTCTTCAGTTGCTTCTCCATCTTAATTTTTGAGACAGCCTCTCACTGAACCTGGAGTTCATGGATTCAGAACTATTCTGAGAAAAGGAAAAATAACTTAAAAACCAATGAGATGGTTCAGTGAATAAGGATATTTGCCACCAAGCCTGTTGATCTGAGTTCAATCTCAAGAACTTATATGGTAGAAAAAGAGAACTGACACCAGCAAATTATCCTTTGACCTCCACATGCATATTTTGGCACCTGTGCACCATACAAAACACACACGTGTGCATATATACACACAAATGCACACAATAAATGTTTTAAAACAAAACAGAAAAGAGGGTGGAGAGACAGCTCAGCAGTTAAGAGCACTGATTGCTCTCACAGAGGACCTGGGTTTGTTTCCCAGCACCCACATGCCAGCTAACAACTGTCAGTAACTCTAGTTCCAAGGGACTCATTGCCTCTTCTGGCCTTGTCAGGAACTGTACACATGTGTATACTTACATACACTCAGGCAAAACATTCATACACATAAAATAAAAATACTTAAAATGAAATAAAGTTTAAAACAGGAAAAAAGGGAAAGAAAACAATGAGTTGGTCACCTACAGGCCCTGGTATGGGCACTGAGGATTATGCAAAAATAATACATAAAACATACAAAGACCCTCATAACACATTGGAGTGGAGAAAAACTGACAAGAAACAAATAAGCAAGTGTGGCAGATACACATTCAGGTGATCCCTGTAGTGGTATACTTTCTTGTATGAGTCCCACTCTTGAATGTAAGATTTGTGACTTGCTTCAAAGCAACAGATTTTGGCAAAGACAATGGGACAGCATTCCCTGTCGCACCATGTGGTACCTTGCCAGCACACAAGCAAAAACACCTTATTTCTGGCCTTGAAGATGAAGGCCACAAGCAACAGTAAGTGCTGTGGTGTGTCTGTGGAGAGGATAAGCCATATGGCAGGGATCCCTGGGCAGTTCTAGAGATTTGGGCCTTGTTCTTACAATGGCATGGAACTGAAATGTGGCAACAATCACATGATCTTGGAACAAAGTGCTAATCTTCAGACAACAACATAACCTTAACCAAGGTCTTGGCTGCAGTTTAGGAGACGCTGAGCTAAGGATTAGCTGAGTTATGATCAGACTCTCAACCCACAGAAACTAGCAAATGTATGTGCCTTCATGCCATTAAATTTGTTATTAAACAGCAATAGAAAACAGAGCAAGTAAATACATGTTAAATAAATACTTTAGAGAAAACAAAACAGAGTAAGAGGAGTGTCTGTGCCTCCACTCAAACAGATGACTTTTTTTCAACATTCTAAACTTGATGGCACAGTTTTTTTGTTTTTGTTTTTTTTGTCCTTTTGAGACAGGGTCTCCTTATAGCCCCAGCTGTCCTGGAACTCACTATGTAGACCAGGCTGGCCTCAAACTTACAAAGATCTGCCTGCCTCTGCCTCCCAAGTGCTGGGGTTAAAGGTGTGTGCCACCATGCCCTCCAATAGAGCTTTTTTTGTACATCTGTAGGACCCTCCCCAATCTCTACCGCTGCTGGTTTTTTTTTTTTTGAGACAGGGTCTCAGTCTGTAGTCTAGCCCAGGCTGTCACATACGCATGGTGATCCTCTTGCCTCAGCTGCCTGAGAGCTAGGATTATAGGTATGAGCCACATCATGCCCAGCCACAACTGCTAACAGTCACCATCCTGAAACTCATTCCCAGTCTCCAGCTTTCCCCTGGCCCACCCCTTTTATTCTAATCTGATCCTGGGTCATCTCTGTACATCATGGTCACCTTTTCCAGGCGGGTCTCCAATTCTGACACTTCAGCTTCCACCAGCTCAATTGAGGCTCTGGGAAAGGAGAGACAGGATCATGGGAACAGAGCTTAGGTCCATTGGGTCTGTCTGCATACCTCAGGGTTTGGGTCATGGGGTGGTGGGTACAGACGGAGAAAGCTATGGGTTGAAAAGGGCTACCTTCCTGCTAGCCCACACTGGCTCAGGCTCCTGCTCATGCACTGTGCACAATCTAGGCTTAAATAACCCAGGCCAGAGCAGGAAGAGTAGGAGGGTGGATGTGGCCAGGGCAGGAAGTTGCTAACCACCCAAGGCAGGTGCTGGGGGAGGGGCAGGGGTCCTAGTGAGAAGGAGGAAGAAATGCCAGTTAGAGGCCAGATGGTGCAGACTAGCAGAGTCAGGAGACACAGGGTTATTTTTTATTTTTAAAATGGGTTTCCCTCTAGCCCTGGTTAGTCTGGAACTCACAGCAATCTTCCTGCCTCAGCCTCCCAAGGGATTACAGAGATAAGCCACCATGCCTTTCTTGAGAGTCTAGGTTGAATGGCAGAGGCACCATTTTGACCAACCAGTTATCGCTTGTCTCTTTGTGGCCTACTCCCTGAAGGGAGGTCTGGCCTGGTGAATGCTGTATGTATTAGGGCAGGTTGGGCCTTCCCCACCTTAGTCTGCTGGACCTGCACACACTTACCGGAAGCGGGGCGAGTCCTTGAGACACTCTTCAAAATCTAGCTTGACCGTCATCTTAAGTGACCTGCTCTGGCCCAAGGGCCCTGGAGGCCAGGCAGGTGAGGATGTGGACAGAAGCACTCACCACCCCCCAGGAGGGGTGTTGATGAGGAAGAAGAGGTTCTCTGGAGGATCTGGGTCTGCAATTCTTTCCTCAAAGGAAAGGGGTGGCCAGGAGGAGCTCTCACCCCACAGCTTCTAGACAGCACTGGGAGGGGTAGGGGTGGGGCCTGGGAGGAGGGGGTGCTGAGATCAGAGAAGCCACAGTCCCGCCCCAGAGACTATTGTCACCTTCCTCCTGGGGACCCTGGTCTTTCTCTGCTTCCTTCTCCTTTGGTGAATGAATTTGGGCGGGCGGGGGCTGATAATCTAGCAAATGCTTATCTCTGCCACTTGAGTTTGTGTGACCCTAGACAAATTCTCTGATCCTTCAGTTTTCCCACCTGGAAGATGGGGATGAAAACCCCACCTCCAAAATTGTTACAAGAGTTAAAGTTACTGCTGCTAATACATTTATGGTAAATTGATTCTATCAGACATCACCATCCTGCTATAGCTTGGTCCTTTTCAAGATCCTTCTTTTGGGCTGGGGAGATGGCTCAGGGCATAAAAAGTCCTTACTGTGCAAGCCTGATAGCCTGAGTTTGTCTCCAGAACCCATGGTGGAACTGATTCCTGAAAGTTGCCCTCTGACCTCCACATGGACACCATGGAATATGTACACACACACACACACACACACACACACACACACACACACTAACAGTGAATTTAAAAAAAAAGATCCTAGGGATTAGAGAGATGGCTCAGTGGTTAAGAGCACTGGCTGTTCTTGCAGAGGACCTGGGTTTGGTTCCTAGCACCCACATGGTGGCTAACAACAGTCTGTAACTGTAACTCTAGTTCCAGTGGATCCAATGCCCTCTTCTGGCCTCCACAGGCATTGCACACATGGGTGCACTTACATACATACAGGGACTTACATACATTACTCATACATGTAAAATAAAACAATTAAAAAAAAATTTTTTTTTTGTCTTTTTGAGACACGGCCTCCCTATAGCCCCAGCTGGCCTGGAATGCTCTAGGTAGACCAGGCTGGCCTCAAACTCACAGAGATCTGCCTGCCTCTGTCTCTGAAGTACTAGTATTAAAGGCATGCCCCACCATGCCCAGCTAAATAAAATTTTTTTAAAAATATTTTTATTTTATTTTTATTTTACATGTATGAGTGTATCACCTGCATGTATGTGAGTGCATCTTTTTTTAAAAAAAGATCCTAGCTTTTGTTTTGTGTTTTGAAACAGGATCACACTATGTAAAAGAAGCTGTCCTCAAACTTGGGATCTTCTGCTTCAGTCCCTAAGTGCTTGACCCTAGCAGTCTAGTCCTCTGAGATGCTCTCTGCTTCTTTCTCTCTGCTCTCCTTTTCCAAGTTACTGTGTATGAATTCCCCTTCCATTTCTCTGGTCCTTGACAGCAGGCCCAGCCTGGACACTCAATTTCCAGCACTGAAATGCCTGTTCTTTACTTTATTGTCCACCCTTAGGTGGTAAAGGTAGGGGAAGGGTGCTCTCACTTCATCCCCAGTTCACTACATTTTCCACAGTCTAGGTTCCTTTTCCTGAGTCCATTGGAGCTGCAGGGTTTCATCTGGAGAAAGAAAAGGTTGGACTTTCTTGCAGCAGGCATGTGATCTTCTCATGTGACCCCCAGGATCTTTAGAGCCTACCCAACTCAGCCCCTTTGCCTCCCTGACCATTGAAAATACCCACTTGCCTCTGCCCAGGCTCATATCTTTGCCCATTCCAGTTTGGAGGGTTCTGGTTATTTCCATGTTCCTTTTCTGAGCTCCCTGGGCTTCATCATTTCAGCCCCTTAGCCCAGGCCACTGACATGCAGGACATGCAGGACATGGTACTACTTAATAATGGAGGTTGGGGTGGCAGAGACGAGTCAAGCGGGAGGCATGGAGTCTGTAGCTGATGCCAGGCTGGAGGGGTTCCCAATCTCTCTTAGCCTCCCTGGTGTCTCTCTATAATGTGGGCCTTGGATTCCAGGATGTTTAGCACCTTTCTTACCACCTGTTGCTGATGTACTAGCCTAATAGGACTGAGAGGCTGGGAAGTAGGAATATGCCAAGAGCCAGGTCTAGAGAGATAGTGCCCTCACCAGGCTGCATTGGTGACACTATCATGACCAGAGAACACTAAATGGTTTTGTCATGCCCGAAGGGGCCTCCTGTGTGGTCCAATAGTACTTGCAGTGCTTATGTGATTCTCAGTGACCCAGGTCAAGCATACAGAACCTGGAAGTCACATGGGATGAGGGTTGGGGCACCTAGTAGGCTATTGGTTCTCAGACCTCCCACCCCCAGGCTATCATCCCCAGCTCTCACCGTTTTACTGTTCATCTATATCCTCTTGAAGCTCTGGGTGGGAACAGGACCTCAGGTATATTCCTTTGCTAAAATATTCCCTGCGTTGTGAATCCATTTTCTCCAACAGGATGGGGTTTGAAGTTGAGGGGAACTGATTTCTGGAGCTAGAAGAATCTGAAAAAAATCACCCAAGACATTCTGAGTCTGTGGCCACCTGCTGTATCCATGGATCCTAGATGTGCATGGTGGGTCACTGACAGATGGGAGGAGTTCAAGCACTAAGTTCTCATCCACCACCCTCTCCTATTTTCCCTTTTAAAATGAATTTTACATGTATAAGTGTTTTGCCTACATGAATGTAAGTGCACTCCTGCATACAACATCCAAGGAAGCCAGAAGAGGGCATCAAATCCCCTGGTACTGGAGTTTTGTTATTCACCATGTGGGTGCTGGGAATAGAACCCAGGAATTCTGTAAGAGTAGCCAGTGCTCTTAACCACTGAGCTGTCTCTCCAGGCCCTCTCTCACCCATTTTAGAAAATCTTCAGTGACTCTGAATTTCTTTCTTTTTTATCTTATGACTGAATTTTTGCTCTCCACTAGCCTGTCATCTCTGGAGGCCACCCTGAATGGAGTTTCAACTCTACTCCATTTCTTCCCTGGGATCACCTCCAACAAGTGCCTCCCAATCAGACAGAATGGCTATAGGCCAATGCTCTCTGAAGAAGGTAGACTATGGTGGACAAATGAGGAACAAAAAGGCCAAGAGGATAAAAATTAAAAAGCAAGTAAACAGAAAGTCCAAGAAGACTTTGGCTCTGAAACAGCCTTGCCTACAATTCTCTTCAGTCCCTGGAGGTCCCCATCACTAACCATTGGTGTCTAGGACATGCCTGTCATTCATCAGGCCAGTCTCATTCTTGACTCCTGTGACGAGTCTTCCTGCCCAGCCTTTCTCCACCGTCCTAGACTTAGGGTCCATCATCATATCTTGAGCGTTACTGCTGATCCTGGCACTAGCACCACTGCTATCTTCCTCATTGGCCCAGGGCTGGTTTTTCTGAGCCTTCAGGAACTTCCCTTCACAGTAATGTGTCTTTCGATGCCTGTCAAAATCACTGGAATCTGTGGGCCAGAGTGAAAGCTTGGCTTTCTCGCCAGGATCTCACTGAAGGTTTACTGGCCTCCCCTTTCTAATCAGTGACCACCCCACATCTCACATGTCTTGGAAAAATCATCTGCAGCCCTTGAGCTTCTGTTATCTCCATACCGGAGGACCTTGGGGAGGAAATTGTCCATTGTTGCCAACCTAAGGGGGAGGGAGACTAGTTGGGGGCACAGAAGGGAGAAAAAAACAATGGAATCAAATTGATGATACCCCCAAATCAGTTTTAGTTAGGATTGAGGGAGAGTGTAAAAATACCTTCTATTTTAGGGGCCAAAAAAGCAGAGCTAACTCAGACTGAGTTCAGTGGTATGGCAGTGGGAGTAGAGAGCTCAGCTGATCTGTGATGGGACTCTCACCTCTCTGCCAGTGATTCAGGAGTCACCTTGAGGGAGGACCCCGCTGACAGATTCTCATCACTGTCCTGCAGCCTACAGAGAAGGAAAAGGTGCTAGAAGGCTACTCTGCTTGCTCCTCCGACTCCGTTGTTAGAAAAGAGGAGTCCAGGGGCTGGAGAGATGGCTCAGCAGTTAAGAGCACTGACTGCTCTTGCAGAGGACCGGGGTTTGATTCCCAGCACCCACGTGGTGGCTACAAACCGTCCTTTAACTCCAGTTCCGGGGGAATCCGAAGCCCTCTTCTGGCCTCTGCGGCATTGCACGATACGGGTGCACTCACTCTCAGACAATATACTCATACACATAAAATAAAAATAAGAAAATATTTTTTAAAAAAGAAAGAAAAGAGGAGTCCAGGCTGAAAAGCTAGGGTTGACGGCTTAGCACCTGTTGTAGGGGGTCTTGGGCTCATCCACCTTCAGAAAGCCATAGTCCTTGTTAGCAGGGTGGTAGGTGGCCAAGATATTCATCTCATCCCAGCACTGAGACTTCCTAAAGTGAGAGGACACAGCAGAGCAGGAAGACCTTCCGGTGCCCCTCTCCTTACAGCCCTCCTTAAAAATTCTTAACACCCCCTTGTAGAAACTAGGGTTGGTATCAGATACCCAGGAATAATCACAGTGCAGTGAATAATCACAGGTTTTGTGGGACACCTACAGCCCTCCCGGTTATGGTACCCAATTGCCCACACCTACTCTCACGCTGAGCTCTCAAGACTCCGCCCGTTTCCTCTTGGCTCCGCCCAGGGTGTCCTGAACTCCTCCCTCTCACCGCTGGACTAGGGACCTACAGAGCTGGGCTTCTTACTTCTCCGTACTGGGGATTTTCTTCATCGTGATAGAGCTGCTGTTTTTGAGGATACTCCGGGGCCGATCCTCACAGTTGTAAGGATGCAAGAAAGTTGACCCGGAATTGTAGACTTGAGGTTCCCTGGGCTCGGGGATGGACGCCCTAGGTCCACTGGTTCCAGGACAGTGGGGGTTGGATCCACCGGGAGATCTGCCGGATCCAAGGCCGGCAACCTCTCCAAGGTGCGGACTACGTCGGGAACCCAGGGTCATTATTCCTTCCGAGGGCCGGCTTGAACTAGGACTGAGAATTGCAGTGCCCCCGGGGTGTACGCGGGGGCCAGTACCGCGAAACAGGGCTACCCCGGAGGGCAGCCCAGTGTCTGTCTCGATACCTCTGACCCCTCCAGGTACTGCCCTACGTACCCCTCCAAGCGATTCCCCACTGAGGCCGCAACAGGAGACTCCGTCTTCTCCATAGCTCCACAGGAAGCCACTTTCAATTACTCAGTGCAGCCCAACTCCACATAGCTCCGCCCTCTGGCCCTGCCCCCACCGCGGTGGTGGTACGGGGCACTGAGGCTGTAGCTCCAGCTCCGGCCGGGTCTATTCCACCTTTGTTCCTTGGAGCTGGGGTGGGCAAAAACAAGACTCTATCTTGAGACTTCAGCCCGGGAGCCTCTCTCCTATTGTCACACCCAAAGGTTTTCTTTGTCTTTGCTATTTGTTCCCGCCCTTCTCCATCGCCGTTCAGATCCGAATCAGCCAATCACAGTCAGGGGGCCTGGACAGGGCTAGCGGCCTTGTGACGTCACAGCCCCCCTTTACGCTAACCTCTTGAGGTGGGTTGGGATTTTGCTAATAGCTCTCAGGTTATACCTGGAGTAGTCCGTGCTCTTCCTTGAGACTGCCTGTCTGCGTGTCTTTAGAGTATTTGTAGCTTTAAAATCTTAGAGTTTGGTTGAATGGGAGTCCAAGTTGGTCTTGAAATATCCGCGGGCTCCCCCGCACAATAGAGGTGTGATGCAAAGTGTGGGGGCTTGCGAAGAGGACAGATGCGATGCCAAGTGGGGGACGAGATGTGTAATGCAAAGTGGGGGGACTGCGACATTTCCTGTATCGGTGTAGACGACAGAGACATTTATAAAGGCTGCCTTTTCTCGGTGATTTTAAAACGTGTAGCGAGAAGGGAAGACGCCACCCCCACCCCTTGTCGTAAAGCGAATGCTTCCATGTGTCTCTTCCCCCAGCCAGGACTGGGGAGTCGGGGCCGCGCGCTGTCGTAAAGCGTGTTTGGGCGCCGGCACACCTTCGCCGCAAATACGCCTGCCGCGGGCGGTTCTCCCATCCACTGTCGCAAAAGCTGCTCAAATCTTCAGTTCTCTCCTAGCCTCTCTCATCCCTCTGTGCCGTAAAGCAAGTCTTCCGACCCCATCGTCCTTCTGTTCCTACAGTGATGGACTGTAGGTCCACAGCTCTGGATGCTTCGTTGCCCCGCAGTGCCGTAAAGCATCTCTAGCCCCCCGCCCCCCGCCCCGCCATCGGCCGTATTCCCTCAGGGCGTCGGTCCACCGCGGTTGCCAAGGTGCCGCCAAGCGCGGCTGTCGCACGGCCGCGGTATCAGCAGCGATGGCGGCGGGGTCGGGTGGGAGTGGGGGCTCTGGGGCAGGCCCCGGACCAGGGCCAGGGCCGGGTGGGGGCGGGGGCCCCAGCAGCAGCGGTTCAGGACTGGGGTCCGGCGGGGGTCTCGGCGGTGGCGGAGAGCTGCACCCCCGCACTGGGCGCTTGGTGAGTCTGTCGGCCTGTGGGCGCACGGCGCGGCGGCAGCAGCCAGGACAGGAGTTTAACCACGGGCTGGTGTTGAGCCGAGAACCCTTGCGCGACGGACGCATTTTCATCGTCCGCATCGACCGCAAGGTGCAGCGCTAGGGCCGCGGAACCGCCGTGCGGAGGGTGGTGGGTGGGGACGGGAAGAGGTAGGACTCCAAGAAAGCCTACGTCGCCTACCAAGTCTCCAGGTACGGGGAGCGAGCAGGCAGATGGTAGGGCACCGGGGAACGGATAGGAAAGAGCGCGAAGCACACACATTGATTCTGAAGGAGGAAACGAGGAGTTTCCTCAGAACTTAGAAGCAGGGCAAGGATACTGAATCCAGTTACTAGAATGGCTGGTGAACAGATCTGGCACAGTTTTGGGGGGATGGAAAATAGGAGCCCGAGATGTTCTGGGGAGAGGAAATACCAAAGAAAGCACAAACCATTGAAGGAAAAACTCTCAAAGCCAGAAAGATGGATGAGGGGATATGGGGGAAAGGAAGTGTGTGCGATTTACTTAGCTCGGAGAGAGAATTTGGGAGGATGAAATCTGGGTGGAGTCTTACCTCTAGGAAAGAACGGGTTAAGAGTGAGAGCCATGTAGAAGAGCAAGATACATGTACATGGGAAGCATGTGATTTGTGGTTGTATAGCCATAGAAACTACTGAAATCAGAGGACGCAAGAGGCTGGAACATGGGAATACAACCAGCTTGCTCATTTGGTAAAGGATTGATGTGGTAAACACTGAGCACCAGATACAGCACACAGTTAGTAGGGGAAAGCAGTTCCAAAAGGTTACTTGTGGTTCTACCTCTATAGTCTCAGAGGTTACATGAGAGGGGGAGAGTGCCCTGTGGAATTTGGTTTCTGGTAATGGAATTCCTGAAACTGTCTACCACCCTCTCATAGGTCAACTCCTGGAGTGGCTCCATTGAGATTGGAGTGACAGCGCTGGATCCCAGTGTGCTGGACTTCCCAAGCAGTGCCACTGGGCTGAAGGGGGGCTCGTGGGTAGTATCAGGCTGCTCGGTGTTGAGGGATGGCCGCTCTGTGTTGGAAGAATATGGCCAGGACTTGGACCAGCTTGGAGAAGGGGACCGAGTGGGTGTGGAGCGCACAGCTGCTGGGGAACTCAGGCTCTGGGTAAATGGGCGCGATTGTGGTGTGGCTGCCACAGGCCTACCTGCTCGAGTTTGGGCTGTTGTGGACCTTTATGGCAAGTGTACTCAGATCACTGTGCTGCCCCCTGAGCCAGGCTTCAGCCGTCCTACTCCCATTCCCACCCCTCCCCTTGAGCCCTTGGCCCCTCCAGAAGATTCTGCCTTGACTGAACAGGGGACCTCTGTTGATGAAGGTGAGAACCCAGATGCGGAGAGGTGGGTGTGGCTGAAGAAATGGGGCAAATGGAGTCATAAGCCAGCTGGGGGAGGAGCAGATTCATCCAGACCCTAGTCTATTATAGGGAACATAGGGGCTAAAAGACAGGGTCTCCTGGCTGTGATCCCTGAAAACGGGCTGAACCCTTATTCCCCCTCCCATCCTACCTGGTCCCTAGCCTTCATGGTGTCCCCAGCGCAGGCCCGGCCGGAGACGTTTCCTAACAGCCTTGAGTCGCATAATGGTGAGGGCTTTGGGGAAGCCCTGGGAAAGGGCCTGGGCATTGAGATGGACAGGGTGGGATTTCACGAGATGGGTAGGGAGAGAGGGTCCTAAGCTAGAAGGGGTAGAACCTCATCTTGTCTTCATTTCTCCATCTTACTGCTATAGACTTTGCTAGCATGGAGCTCTCTGAGGTGGTGAGCAATGCCATTCTCTCTGCCTATAATGGGGGGCTCCTGAATGTGAACCTGAGCTCCCCACCAGCAGGGGATGAATTAGCATCCAGTGGACCTGCCACCTCGCCCATCCTCACCTCCAATGATGCCCTGCTCTTTCATGAGAAGTGTGGGACCCTCATCAAGCTCAGCAACAATAACAAGACGGCGGAGCGCCGGAGGCCCCTGGATGAATTCAACAATGGGGTTGTCATGACCAACCGCCCACTTCGGGACAATGAAATGTTTGAGGTGTGTAAAAAGTCTAGCTGGGCTTCCTGCTACAGATGGGGAGCTAAAAGTGGGGCTCATCCCTTTATGCTAGCAGAGTGATGCCTGAGGCAGAACCAAGGGTTTGAGGGTCCCTCCTTTCTTGTTATATTTCCTCTTCCTCTCTGCTGTCACTTAACCCCAGATCCGTATTGACAAGCTTGTAGACAAGTGGTCAGGCTCCATCGAGATCGGTGTCACCACCCACAACCCCAACAGCCTGGAGTACCCAGCCACCATGACCAACCTCCAGTCAGGTACCAGCCCTGGATAGAGGAGGAAACATAGGCTTGGGGTAATAAGAGGAAGGAAGCCTCACCTTAATCAGGTATCCATCTTTGCCAGGTACCATCATGATGAGTGGCTGTGGGATCCTGACCAATGGCAAGGGTACCCGCCGGGAGTACTGTGAATTCAGTCTGGATGAACTGCAGGTGAATGTGGAGCACAGCAGCTCAGGGCCACTTCAGGGAAGCCCTGCTAGGACACTGTACAGTGTTTTCTATGACCTGGAGCAAGCCCCTTTCTCTTTTTTTTTTTTAATATTTTTTTTATTTATTTTTATTTTATGTGTATGCATGTATTGCCTGCGTGTAGGTAAGTGCACCTGTGTCATGCAATGCCTGCAGGGGACAGAAGAGGCTGTTGGATCCCCTGGAACTGGAGTTACGGACAGTTGTTAGCTGCCATGTGGGTGCTGGGATTCAAACCCGGGTCTTCTGCAAGAATAGTCAGTGTTCTTAACAACTGAGCCATCTCTCCAGCCCCTCTCATTTTTTAAAATATTATTTTTATTTTACGTATATGAGCATTTTGTCTGCATGTATGTGTGCAGTGGCCCATAGAGGCCGGAAGAGGGCATCGGATCCCCAGGAACTGGAGTTAGAGATAGTTGTTAGCCACCATGTGGGTGCTGGGTATTGAATCCAATCCGGATCCTCTAGAACAGCAAGTGTTCTTAACCTCTGAGCCATCTCTCTAGTGTTTCTCCCCCCACTTTTATGAGGTTCCTTCTGAGAAGGCAAGATTGTTCCAACAGGCTCAAAAATATGTCTATTAGTAGCTTTTTTTTTTTTTCTCACTGATGCTGGTAATAGAACCTAGTGGTGCTCTGCTACTGAACTTCAGCCCCGTATCACTTAAATAGATTGAGAAGTGGAGGAAAAATTGTTGCTTTTAAGATAATTTAACTCAGTACCTGATTTACATTGAGCATTTAGGAAATGTGGAAATTTTCATGCCTGGAAAACAGGAACCCAAGCCCTGCCCAAGGGAGTTCTAAAAACTTAAATGAATTTTGGGGTTTCCTCTGGAATGGGATGGTCAGAAGGGCCCAGGACTGCTGGAAGCTGAGCCTGACTGTGGCTAGATTCCAGACTGGGATCTTTCTTTGGATAGGAGGGTGACCATATTGGCCTCACAAGGAAGTCCAACTCTGCCTTGCACTTCTTCATCAATGGCATTGATCAGGGTAAGGTAATACATAAGAAAGGCTGCTGGCCCAGGGCTGTCAGTGAATCTATAACTCATCCTTCTCTTTGATGCAAGCTCTTCTTGTGAATTGACACCTTTCTCATTCTCTTCTACTACAGGTGTAGCTACCCCATTGACACCACCAGTGGTATATGGTGTGGTAGACTTGTATGGGATGGCTGTGAAGGTGACCATCGTCCACAACAATAACCACAGTGACCGCCTCCGCCGGAACAATGCCATCCTGCGGGCTCTGTCCCCTGAGGGTGCTCTCCGTCGTGCTGCTCCTGCTGCTCAGGCAGAACCTGAACGCCTGCTCTTTCATCCCAACTGTGGGCAGAAGGCAGCCATCACCCACGAGGGACGCACTGCCCTGAGGCCCCAGTATGACCCATGGGGTGGAGAGAGGCCTGCAGAAGGGGCCCTAATGGGATGTG